ATTTGTCAATTTCCTGGTATTTGAGAGCAACACCAGTTTCTTGGTTGATTCAAATTGATATTACGCTGTTTTGTTATCATTTCTCTTTTTCTCTCAATGACAAGAAGTTAATATATCCATTTTCCATTTCCATAGCAATAAATTTGATTGCAAAGGTTCAACAATACTTTCCTCTCAGATGTGGCTGAGTTAGAACTTGGATTGTAAACGGATGGATTGGCAGTTGGCCTACAATTTAGTTTTAGTTCCTCCCAAAAATAAAACTATTGATTTTAATCAATTGCCTTTTGTCATTTATTGAAGGAAGGTTGAAGTCATTGGTATAGGTGGGATATTAATTTTTTATCATTTCATTGCAGTTAATGCATACTTTTCCCCCAATTGTTTGCTTGAATTTTGCAACGCACAAAAAGATCATTGCATTAGATTTTGAACATTATACTCTGTACTTGCTGCAATTATAAATGCGAAAATTCTACTTGATCCAATAGTAATACTCTTTGCTAATGCCATATTAGGTAGCTGTATTTGCTGGTGGTGTTGACACCTCTGCAACTGAAACTAAAGGAACCGTGTTAATTCATTCAGCTGAGCAGGTATATGTGCAAAGTCTCTAATACTATAGCTATTCCTTCATCTTTCAATTTATACTGAACTATAGCTCAATATTGTAGCCAAATTATTATTATTGTAGTTCCTTTATGCTTGAAACACATTGGCAAACATTCAGGATTATTTTTTCAGCTGTTCCCATTTTGGCAAGGAATTGGCTTTGTTCAAATCCGATTCAATGGCAGTGGAATGTAAAGAGTTGTTTGACCAACATATTCCATTCTTTTGTTCTGTTTATGCTTAATCTAAAATCTCCATATATGTTTGATTATGTTATTATTGTATAGCCTGTTTCTTTGACTTGTTGCTTTTGCTGATTGGACCCGTTTTCTTCTTTTTTTGACATGGTATAGCTAGAAAATTATTCGAAAACTGAAGAGGCTAAAGTTGAGGAGCTCATAAAAGCAGTAGCAGATTCCGGTGCCAAAGTGATTGTTAGTGGAGGGGCAGTTGGAGAGATGGCATTGCATTTTTGTGAGCGTTACAAGTGCGCTTCTCTATACATCCTTTTTTGCCCCCTAATATATAAATTTGAAGCCTGGATTAATATTGAATATTGGTGATGTTCTAACCAAAAATTGTTGCTTGTAGGCTCATGGTTCTGAAAATTAGTTCGAAGTTTGAACTACGTCGATTTTGCCGGACTACTGGAGCTGTTGCTATAGTGTGTATCTTTCTACCCGTGTCGTGTAGAAAAACTTTCAAGTTTTTTTTTTTAACCCGTTTTGTTTTTCCTGCAACAGCTGAAGCTTAGCCAACCGAATCCAGATGATCTTGGATATGTTGATTCAGTTTCTGTTGAGGAAATTGGTGGTGTCAGAGTATGTTGGAAAAAAAAAATCTTTTACATGTTAATTTTTTTTTGTTTTTTCGCTTTGATTTTATATCTCATCTTTTTTTTTTGTTTCTTCTTTTGTTCACTTATTCTTCATTACACTCTGTATGATTTTCCCCTCACATGAGAATGTGTAGGTGACCATTGTGAAGAATGAAGAAGGTGGAAATTCTGTATCTACTGTTGTTTTAAGAGGAAGCACTGATAGCATACTGGATGATCTTGAAAGAGCAGTTGATGATGGTGTTAATACTTACAAGGTTATTTCTGGCATATACTCCCATAATAGGCTGTTTGTAAATCTTCCCCCAATATGGTCTTGTGGTTCTGCAGCACTAGGATTGTTACTATGATGAAAACCTGTAAATTTAACGAACCAGAAAAAAAAATGCAGCAGCAGAGCACAATGTAAGGGAAATCCTGAGGTTTTAGTGTTAATATGATAAGATACTGAATCAGAGTTACCAAAGAGGACTCCCTGATTCAATATAAAACCCTATTCCCTTGTTACAAGGATGAAATCAAGGCAAACTAAGACAACACAATCACTCTCAACAACGAACACTCACTGGCTTTTGAGAGGCCAGTCCTCTCCTCACAACACTCAAAATACCAATGACATAATCTGCTAGGGGGCCTCCAGCACTACTATAAACCCAAAAGGCAGCCCTCATGGACTCCAAAAATGCCCTCTCCTTAGCCAGGTCACAAGCAACTCTAAAGCAGCCCTATTTTTTTATTTTCTTGCTCCTTAATAGGGGGGATGTAAGGTCAACGTTCTGACCATCTAAAAGCATCTTTCCTTTTTCATGCTTCTTTTTAGTTTTCCTTTTGTAGGTTTGAGCAGCTAAAGCAATTCTATCATATTACATGTGTTTGGTTGAGTGTAATTTTTCATTGCTGCTAAATGCTTCACACGCACCATTGTTTGTCAGGCCATGTGTCGGGACAGCCGTATTGTACCTGGAGCAGCAGCAACAGAAATTGAATTAGCTAAAGAAGTGAAAGAATTCTCCTTCAAAGAGACAGGGTACTTTTGTGTATATCTATTTTTGAAAATAAAAGGCTGTTGTTTATATATTTGTATGCATGCATCTACGTGCTTGTTCATTGCATGGGAGTGATTTTTGTTCTTCGGCTGTATGGTTGGGTTCTTGTTCTTCACTGTTATTGATGTTTCTTGCATGGTTTTAACAATTTATTTTGTTTAGCGTGAATCAGTAACGTGACACATGGATAGGGCATGCTAAATTTTCAATGGCTTTGCAGATTGGATCAGTATGCTATAGCCAAATTTGCTGAGAGTTTTGAAATGATTCCTACAACACTGGCTGAGAATGCTGGGCTTAATGCTATGGAGATTATATCTTCTCTGTATGCAGAACATGCATCTGGAAATACCAAAGTTGGCATTGACTTAGAGGAAGGTGCTTGTAAGGATGTTTCAAATTTGAATGTCTGGGATCTCTATGTGACGAAGTAAGCTACTTGTACATATACCTTCATCTCTCTGTCTCTCTCTCACACACTCCAAATCTGTAGTTAGGCGAAAAATGAATATGTTTATTCATTATTGTAGAGAATATACTTAAGTAAGCTTGTCATATAAAAATTTGTTAACATGTTTCATTGTTTTTTTTTTTTTTAGGCTCTTCGCTCTCAAGTATGCTGCAGATGCTGCATGCACTGTGTTACGGGTGGACCAGGTATTGCTCTAAAAAAGTAGTCAGTGCTTTCATGATCAATCGTTTGGAATTACTTGATGTTGTTCTGTTTGAATATTTTTAATGGCAACTAACGGAACTGAAGAATAGGTGAAACGTGTCCAATTATGGGTACATAATATTTCCATGTGGTGAGCTTACGGTTCAGAGGGAATGGTTTGAAACTTTTTTGGGACAAGGAAATGGTTTGAAACTTGGAAGTGCATGAGGGAGAGGTTGCCATGATTATCTAAATTCTAAAACATTAATTTGTGAGTCCGGAAACACTATTTGGATCTAGTAGTATGGCTGTAGATTGAAATGTATTTATTTGAAGTTGAAGCACTGATTATTGCATTGTGTGCAACCGTTAATTTTTGGGAATGCGTTTCCGAACTTCTGGAAACCACTTTTTTGGAGTAGAAACAGGGCTTTAGCATGTGAAATGTATGTTGTGGTATCATTTGAAATAAACACAGCCTAGCCATAAGTTTTACTTATCTGCATTAGAAGAAAATACCAGGTGTGGAACCTATTTTGAAGTTTCATGTTATATTGCCATTATATTTTTATATGGGGTCAACAGTTTGGGAAACAAACAGGTGTACCGTGGTGATCTTGGACAGTTGCTCTTGAAGCTAGCTCCTGTAAATTCTTGTGTCAGTTTTTTATGTTCATGGCTCTTACGTTATATTTTGATGTTTTTAGATTATAATGGCAAAACCAGCTGGTGGCCCGAGGAGAGATCAACCTGCTGGCATGGATGAAGACTAAATTTTTTCCCTGTTAGAACTGGCCGCTGTTTTGTCTGTGCTTGGATGATTGGATCTCAAACTGACTACTGCCTTTCTTTTCGATGCCAGGGGTGGGGTTGATGCAAATTTTAGATTTTGATTTTCAGTGGAATGATAAGAAATATGCCCTGTAAATTTTAAATTTTATTCATAGTCCTCTGGCTAGCTTAACGATGTCTGCAGAATTGCCGGAATCCGGGTGCTGTAACAATCGAGTTCAGGTTGAATCTTAAAAAATTTATTATTTCCTTTTCTTTTGATAAAATATTGATAATATCTAGATTTATTGATTGCTCTATTTTCCGTTTGATAATTTATTCAATTCAGCCCTTGCACTTGTTATGACCAGAGTTGTAAAAACTTAGCCAATCACTTCACCTAACTTCTTTTGGCGACGTTATTTATCTATGTAAAAGAAAGAGAAATATATAACTATTACTCCTTATATTTTTAGTACATTTTAGTATTGATTTATACTTTTTTTGGTTCATAATTTTTATAATTTTTATCTGTAATGTTAATCCTCATTGTTACTAATAGAGTTGATAAGGACTCATGATTTTAACAAGTTAGCACATGGCATGAAAAGTGAAAGAATTCATGTATGCGTTATATACCAAAAATCAAAACAAGTTGGAATTATGTGAATTAATAAAAACCTTTATATTTGAAGGATGGCTTTCTTGTTACATTTTATAAAAAAAATAAAAATAAAAAAAATGCAAAACCTAATACGCTGTTTGGGAATGATGGCAGGAATTCTAAATTGTAATTTTCAATACTCACAGTTATTTATACCCGGCACGCCAGATATAATTGTACATCACGATTAAAAATGTTAAACGAGTTGTATAGTCCAAAGTTCTTGGGAGAATTGCATTGAGGACATTTTAAAAAAATTATTCATAAATAAAGATTAACAAGTTGCTATTACTATTTTAATAATAAATAATTTTATAATGATCATTGTGAATAATTCTCTTAAAAAGTTAATTCCCAAAATTCTTGCAAGAGAATTTAGGAACTTGAATCTCACTCAAGAAGGCAATGAGAATTGGGAAGTAACGAGATAAAACTTTTAAAAAGACATTTCTAAACTTTTTCAATTATTCGAAATAACTGACATCTAATCTCGTTCTAAAAGTACAACATTAGCCCTGAATTGACTGCACTGAGCACCATGAGCGATTCACTGGTTGTGTCAAGATCAGCTCTTACGTTCCCAAGGCTCTTCACAACAAAGGCCAGATTGAACGTGGATCTTACTGGGACACAACAACTCAACATCTACTTGGAACTAACTAATAATACCTACAAAGAATGATGCCTGTGATGCTCTAAAAAGATGTTTCGATAATTTATAACAGACATCATAATCTTCTACACGCACATCAGAAAGTGCAAGTTATGTAGGGACAAGATAATGGCCTTCGTCCTGACCGTTGATCCATACAAGAGGAGTAGCCACTGCAAGTAGAGCGAAAGAAAGACCACAAACCAGTTTCAACGCTGCCCTTCGCAGTGTCTTTTCCATACCAATTCTCTGAGTATTATTTTTACTCGTGGGAACTGCCTCAGGATGCATCTGCATGTCAACTTCACCAGAAAGCTCATCTGGTATTGAGACTGACTCCTGACCATGTTGTATCTGTGCATCATCATTATCACCAACATCATATAATAAGCTTTCATTCTCTTTAGAATCACTATTTTCATGTAAGAAACCATTCTGATCACATCCAGATGTTGGACTCCACTGAATATTGCCTGAGGATGAACTCCTAAACCGTCTGTTACTGTTTTGTTTCTCAGAGCTATCAGAATTCACATCGAAAGGGTCTTGAAGAGACTGGATGAGCTTTCTAGGAGTCTTGAAGATTTTGATATTGTCTACATTAACCTGTGCTCGAGACCTCTGAATAGCAAAGAGTATGTGTCAGTTGTCGAAATAAAAGAACATGTGATTTCAATAAAAAAATATGGCATTTTTTTTTTGGGAGGGGGATGATAGGATTACATCCAAATTCCACTCAACACACCTGATTACTCCTAAGTCCATTAACAACTAAATTTATATGTTATCATTCTCCTAAACTCAATTGTCAATGAACCTGAAAATAATTAATTGTGTTAAGTAGAGCCTTGAAGTAATTCTGCCAAAAAAATATTAATAAGATCTCAAAAGGAGACTTGATACAAAAGATCTTACGCAGTGTTAGTTTCAAGTGCTTCATTATCATGAAAAGACTTTTAAAGTGACCATCAAGTATAATTTATGATAGACATGTGAGAACTTTACCAGGGGACTTGTGGTGGTGCTTCTGGACACTCCAAACCGAGGGTTCTGATGCATGAATCCAGCAAACTCCTCCGTTGAATCTGTCCCATCCAAAACATCATGATTCGCAGAGTTCTCTAACCATTTCTTTGAGATATCATTTCTCCTCACAACTTCTGAAAACAGGCCATCCTTGAGAGACACGTCAACTCCTCCATTTTCCTGGCTCCAAAGCTTCCTATTTACACTTCGACGCTCAAAGTTTGAAGTCTGAGATGCTTGGCTCATTGCAATAGGAGACTCAGTCACTGATTCATATCCCGGAAAGAAGTCCAGAGTCCGTGATTCAGGTGAAATAGATGTAGGAGAATTCTCCCCTTCACCAGAAAAGTTTTCCCCTTCATTGTGATCTCCCTTGCTAAAATTTGAGCCAGTCACTGAACCAGGACTTTTAATATATCTTGATTTTTTGTCAGCTGCAATTCTCTTGGCAGTTTGCAAAGCTTCAAATGCAGCACCTTTCACATATGCCATTTTATCAGACTGGCATTTCTCCATCTCCTGAATTATCAACTCAAGTTCTGAGAATATGCTTCGGGGGTCTAGACATTTCATCATGAAGTTTACCATTTGAATGGCCGACAATCTCTTCTGAGAATTCCCCTCCATAGACCCAGCATTCAATATCCTCAATCCAGATTGTATGAGCAGTCTAGCATATGCTTCAACAATCAAAGCATTGCGTTTAACCAAAGCCATTACCAAACCCAAGTGTGAGTTATTCTGGGTGGACCTCCCCTCTAAAGCTACAGCAACATTCAGGCAGACCCTGTTGACCACATCATCTGAAGCAAACTTCCAGTTATCTGAATCCACAAGAGCCTTTAAGCAAAGGGCTGCTCCTGAAGCTAGGCTCTCTTGAGAACTAGTAAGAGAATCAGAAAGTGGCTTGCATAGGGAATGAATTATATGCCGCTTTTTGTCTTCTGGGGTTGTGGGGTCAATTCCATATCTTGCAATAGCTGGAACCACCTTTGAGCAAGCCTGATGAAGTGGGAAAGACCCTGCACTTGAAGCTAAGGTTTGAATTATGGATGCCATTATGCTGTCTATCATGGGAACAATTTTGACACCATGAACTCGAGCAAGAACTTCATAGAGTGAAATTGTGAATTCTCCAGATAATGAGCCAGTATCCTTGGTTTCAGAAACCTGGGCGAGGAAGATAGGAATAGTCTTAAAATCCAAATCCTTAACGTATGACTTTAGTGCTTTCATTGCACACTTGCGGCTGTCCGCATCTTTGTCGAGGTTTGCAAGCTCTCGCCGTATCACTGGACTGAGACTTCTTCCCATTGCTGAACTAAAATCAAACAAACAATTTGATTAATAACTATAATGAAGGTAATCGTAACCACCACTGCAGAGATCTCATTGTGGGTATTCTACTGCAGATTTTAATATCCATGCTCAGCATTTAATGCTTCGACTTTTCAGTTATTATATTCTTTGCAAACAAAAATTAAATCGTGTAAAGGGACAGTGAGCCAATTTACACTCGAAATTTTTGTTTGCCTCCATGAGCCTCAAAACAAAGTAAAACCACTGACTTGCAACTCAGTTGTTCACCCCCTTACCTTGAATTTGCAGCAATTAAACGAGAAACGGAATACTTATCCTTCCTTTTCCCACTTCAAAACTATTAGAAGGAAAAAAAATCTCAGACCCCAAACCGATGGATCTTGAAAATTAGCTTGATAATGACATCAAGTGAAGGACGGAGAAAAGGAAAAGCGACAACCAGTCTGGTTTTCAGTTTAAAGAGCTAAAATGTTTGATTTTCTCAAAGAAAGATAAAGATTCAAGCTTTCAACAATTCTTGGGTAACAGAGAATGGGGAAGAAAGATGATAATGATGAAGAAGGGGGTTCGGATCAGTGCGAGTGTATTCACCAACAACGTAAAACAAGATTACTCTGTACACAAGCGCATTCAGTTCCTCAATCATATGATTAGAGAGGAAAAGAAAGAGTAAACGGGAATTCAAATCAACTAAAAGCTCAAACACCAAAGCATGAGAAATCAAACAGTGCTGTGCAGAACAAAAAGAAAGAAATTCAAATTCAAATTTAAGCAAGGAAATGCACCTTTATGAAGGGAAGAATCAGCTGAAACTTCCACTTCCTTGTGCACTACCTTGTGAGCGCTAACAAGATAGAGGACTTGAGAAGCGTTGGAGCTGGGAAGAAAACGAGAAAGCTGTCTAAATGTGAAATGGGCTTTGAAGGTTCGATTTCAAATTTAGCGTATTTCGTGGGGCTCTGTCTCTTTCCGCTACAAATTGAATACCTAGATTTTCAAAATCTTTCTTCGTAATTCCACCGCTATCCTTCCCATAAAATATTCCTTAAAGGGTCATTCGCAAATTTTTTTCTTTTTCCTTTTCTTTTGCACTTTGCATGAAACTCCAGCATTTTGTAAGCACGACTAGTTTATACATTATTATGTCACTGTATTTTGGTTGGTCAATATATACATACATACATACAACTGTATTTTGTAAAATAGAATAATCATGACGAATTTAACGGATGTATATTTGGATGCTTCTGACGCTATCAAAAAAATTAAAATCATTCCTGCTGAATAATATGATTATGTTCCCATATACAGAAGAAAATAGAGATTAAGTACAATGTACTTCCCTTTTCTGAGTGTTTTGCATTTATGCTTATATTTATTGTCATTAATCGGCATTTTTACTATGTGCTCCGTGTTTACAATTACAGAGTAAATACATTGATTTTGTAATTTTTTTTTTAAGAAAGAGAGGAGATGCATTGGTCTCCTGAGATTTTGTTTTATTAATTTTCGAATCAGTAAAATTTTCACACTGATTCTAGTGATTCATTGAATGAGAATTTAACTGGAGTCCAGATTCAATTCACCCATTGTGTATTAAAAAGAAATCAGTCAATCTCATTAATTTAATTTTAGTTTCATTTTTTTTTTTTCCCTCTCCTAATTCTCCCGAAACCAATATAGAAAATGGGATAATCAATATTGAATACTCCTGTGAAACCAGATTCCTCACCTCCTGTCACTGCCTTGGCATTTTGGTATGGCTTTATCTTTGACTAGAGAATCCAAAGAGCAGCAATAAATATAGCGTTTGGAATTGCGTGCAAAGTACTTTTCCCGCGCTTGAGAAACTGGTTTTTGGGGGGATTTGAAAATCGCGCCTAAAATTCAGCTTCACCTTCCAGCTACCATTACGAGTCTGCGACTGGCCCGAGCATGCAATGCAACAAACAGACGCTTAGGTGAAGGTGATTGATAATTTGATACTGCCGATTTTTATTTAAAAAAAGAAGAAGAAGAGAATGGCGCCAAATTGTGACCCCTCGCTCCGCGTTGCGTCATTCTGTAAATAGCTTAACGCAAGAGATCTTATTATAATTGTAATTGTAAATACTAAATAAAGTATGAAGAGTTCATTCAAATTCGGTCCTGTGTTAAGTTAAGAAGCCTAATCGTTTATTTAAAACCAAAAAAAAAAAAGCAAAGGAAAGCACAAATAAGATCCTAGAAGGTTAATTAGACTCCAAACGGAATATAATAATCAAGAACAATAACTTGTATCTCTTATTTGATAGTGTGTGAGTGTGGGTGCCATGAAATGCAAAACTATTACCGGGAAAATATTGTTTGTACATGGAGAGTCTGCAAGTTTGAGGACATTTTCATACAGGGCAAAGTGAAGACGATTTCACTCCCACAACAAATATAAATGTCTGCGCAATAATGAAAAAACTAACAAAAAAATAACATGTATCTTCAGCATGGGCGAGTGGACGAGGGGGCTTGGGACAAACCTTTGTTCCATAAATATAGTCTGAAAATTTATGCTTCTTTTACATACTGATCTCGAAAAACTACTGGGACAACAATTAGTGGGTATCCGTGGATGCAGTTTTAATTGGTACAAAAAGATTGATCATTGACATTGTGGAAGCAATTTGCAGGTTGGGCAATACCACTTTCCCTTGAATCTTGTCTCTGGTGTTAGGCCAACACATGCATAGTGAAACCATTCGCCTCCTTGGCACTATCGAGAAAACGCACACATAAGCTCCTAGAAGTTACAACCAACCCCACCTCCCCCAAAATAAATTGGAAGTCTGAGTAAAAGTAAAGGATACTCACATTTTCATTGTCACATGCAATCATATCACCAAAAGACACCTGAATGATCAAAATAGCAAAAGTATTTTAGCTTCTTGCAGAACTTGTTAAGAAAAGACCAAAAAAGGTATGAGAAATTACCTCATACTGGAGTACAAGGAGAACAAAAATTAGATATATTATGAAAAAAGAAAAATCCAAACCTGATGACAAACACAGTACGTGGGCTCATTAGGATCAATTGGTTGATCAAAATCCACAGGAGCTGTATAGTCTTTTTTATGGCTTCCTGGTGGAGGCATGAGCTCAAGGTCCCTATCACGCTCTCTATCCCAGTCTCTATCCCTGTAATCAGGTCTCTTTGATTGAGGTGTTCCATATATGGGCTTGCGCTTTTCACTTTTAAGAACTAGAGGCAATGGGGGAAGAATTGCTGGTTCATCTGGTGATATTTTCCCCTCTAACAAAATTGGAAACATAAAAGAAACAAAATGAGAAAGATCATACCTTGATAACGTGCCAAGGGAATATAAGCCTATTTCTTAAAGAAAAATAGAATATCTTAAGTTCCAAAGTAGTATAATTTTATTTGTTTCCAGCCTTTGTTGCCACTGCCACATAATATGTTGCTTTATACAGGTCTAGAAACACCAATTCCTGTACTCTCCTACATCACTCTTCCATTTCAAGTTCCAAAATACTTGTAAATATCATCAAGAACGTTTGAACAAAAGATGTATATATCTATATATATATAGTTATTTACATAAGAAATAGGGTAATAAATATATCATCACTCATTACATCAACTGGGGTGTATATAGTCATAGGGGCACCAATGAAGGAGAGAAGACAATGGTCACTTCCCTTAGAAATCCATTAATTGCACTCTTGCGCATATCTTTTCCAGGTAAATAAACCATCCAAAATTAATATGAAAGTAATGTTTTCTCATATTCTCCTAACCTTTTACTCTCTAGAGGTTTTAGGCTTAGCATGCATGATACAGTAAATCAGCATGCAAACTACATGGTTATTTTACCTTGCTTTAGATCTTCAGCAAAGTTGTTTAAATCCTCATCAAGTCGCTTTATATGGCTATCTATCTGGAGCAAATACACGAGAACTGAAACTAGTAAACTCTAGTATGGCGTTCCTAAAACGCATATGAGGAAAAAGAATAAAAAATAATCATACAACTTCCTCTTGACTAGTATTATTAAAGAAGTATATAATCTTTAATCATATACAGAGAAGGCAGAATGGAATCAAACTGGATCTTATCATATCAAGGAAACTGTAAGAGTTGAATATTGAGTGGAGTGCTCCTCATAATCAATCAAAGAAACTCTTCTCTCACAGCATGCACATGTACGGTTAAAACTTAAAAGCACATTCTTCAGTGTCCTGGATCATGCTGTCCGGCAAAACATCACACAAACAGCAGAAAGGAGAACAAACCGTAGAACACACCAAACCAAATAAAGGCTACATGCACACATTATCTAACATGAAAGAAATTCAATTGTACTAGTTCAGGCATGTAAGAAAAGAAAATAAGGATTTTAGCTGAAAGTAAATCAGACAGGTCCACGTTGAATAGTTCTTCATGACAATCAGCCCAGAGTTAGAAATTGGCTACGACCCAAAGTACTGCTGTTTTTTTTACTTGATCAACCACAGAATCATAAAGCGTCTGATAGATAAGCTATAAGGCAATTATTTGTAAAAGCTCAAAAGAAAGGAGAGAGATAGTGTAAATGTTCCTTTAAATTATAAATTGGGCTTTATTTAGGCTTAAAGCACTTCTTTTTCTATCAGAATAAATGTTCCAACCCTTCCTCGTGCAGTTTCATCAAAAGAAATATACAGAGTGATATAGTTGTTTGATGGATCCGGGCTGCAGCTACTATGTGGGAAAGGAGAAGATGATATTTCATATTTATAAATATCCGACCGAAACCAAAATGACTATGATCAAGTACCAGGTGAGACTACCAGAACACATTGAAATATCGGAAAAGGCATCAGATGTAACAGATTTATAACTGTTTTGTTTTTACAAAAAAGAAAAAAACTGTTTTGTTAAGAATGAGTCTGACTTTGATTCAGCAGTTAACAGTGAACTGTGTCTAAGTAACTATAGAAGCCTTTAATGCCTGAAAGGAAAAGAGAAAACTTCCAAGTTGCATACAGCCACATTTTGTAGCATACGAGAGGGGACAAAGCAAAGAATAATGGATCCATTTATGGAAGCAACCATGCATAGTATAAAGTAGATTTTGTTTTTGGCTGAATAGTATAAAGAGTTAACTATATTATATGTGATATTTTAGAAACACTTGACATGTTATCTATAATTCACTACCCAATTCTGTAGATATCATTTTATATGAGCAATAATTACTTTTCATAGATCAGAGGCTCTTCCCAGTAACATTTACTCCAGTGATATAAAGTTGGAGCGAACTTCAGCAAGCAAATATGCAATAATGGTATATGATAAAAAAAAGTCAAACATAAATAATCAAGATACAAAACTTAAAAACGGTGAAACTCACCAGGTCATATGCTTGTCTTGCCAATAAAACCTTCTCAGTACATAGACCAAATGCACTATCTTGATTTGCCTCGATTTCTTTTCGCATTTTGTTAATTGCAATGTCATCTTCTTCATTCATATTATTGTTATTATAGTGATGGCCACTGTTATGATTAGGCTTCTTATAGCCATGTGATGACAGCCCCAGGCAGTATTTTGTCTGCTGCCTCGTCTGGTTTATCATAGCTGCGACACCCACATAAGTCACAACCATGAAAAGTTAATAAATAAACAATCATTAAGACATGCAAACGGCCTAAAGAATTGGGAAAAAAAAAATTCCACACAATCAGTGACAGATACCAAGAACAGAAAAAGAAACTCAAGTGAATATTTACATTGGGATCGATCATCGAGTTCTCTGATGGTGTTGAGTAACCTCTGAAGCTCGGCAGGCAGTGTACTCGCGTCTATGGAGATTGGAAAATCAAAATTTAAATGAAGCGGCAAAATCGAATACAACTTCATCGAAAAAATAGGAAATTCAGGAAGAAAATGAGGAACTAGAAAGACGCTTACACTCCAAATAGTCGTCGACATAGACTCCCGTTCGTGCAATTGCCATATGGAATGGTAATTGTCGTGATTGTTAACGGAAGGGTTTGGTTCTAGGGTTTGAGTTGCGTGCCCTGGAGCTGGATTGCTAATATTGGCAATGGGAACGACAGAGCCAAACGATGTCGTATGAGCGTGACGTTTCAAGGCAAAATTTAACGAAACAAGGCGGGTAGGGGAGCATGGCCGTTGATGAGGCGGGTAAATTCCTTCCCGACAGACAAATGACAGCACCGCCATGGTGAGACATTCTTCAAAATAACTCTTACGTTTGAATCACTCGAGACCAAAACGGATAAAACGCATGATATAACTTTGAGACATTTACAAGTCTTCGAAGTTGAAGTGAATTTAGTTTGTTAATAATGTCACGACCAATTCGTTGTCCTTGTCCCTCCCGCTAACCATGAATACCCATGGTTATGATAAAAAAAAAAATGTTATGTTCTAAAAGACCACACAGACATAAAACGAAAAATTAACCTATTACAGTTTTATTTGTATTTTTTAAAAAATTTAATAAAAACTTAATTTACATTTTATTTTAATATTAAATTTTAACTCCCATCCATAGTAAAGCACAGTATAAAATATAGTTTAGAAATATGATTAAAATTGAATAAAAAATGGACTATTGAAATGAAGTACCGATCACTACTAAAAAAAAAAGAAATTGAATGATATACAAATTCATGACTAATAAGCAAAATCCATGATCAATTTTTAGATTTAGTGATAGTCATTCTATCATTAATTTTTGTCACAAATATGACATCACTAATTTAATGACTGAAATGAGTTTATCACTAATTTAGTGACAGAAAATATTTATTATGAATTAATATTGCCACCTGCCACATTGTTGCCATTGAATCTCCAATGTCACCTTAAATGTGATGTTGCCTTATCTCGAACCCAAGATCTCTATCTTTTCATAACTTTTTTAGTCAGTTGAGCTATGATGGCTTTTTTATTTTTAATATATATTATTTAGTTGAACACATATATTTAGCTTACATGTATTTTTATATATTTAATATATTATTATTTAAATATGTTGATAATATATATTATCATATACACACATTAACACATAAATATATAACTCAATATTTATTATAGTTAATAAATATACCATTTAATACCAAATAATATATATTATGAAAATAAATGTTTATATATATTGTTTCATATTTTCTATATTATAATTAAAACATTTTCATATAGTAAAAATTTTATTTTATATTTAAATTTACATAATAAAGTTAATATTTTTATTTTTATATTATATATTTTACTTATAATAAGAGAAAAATTATTTGTGTAATTCTTTAATTTAGTAATTTGAAGATTTTTTTTATGCGAACCTCTATATTTATCATAAATTGTTTATTTTTATATAATATTTGAGCTCATTTTTATTAATTTTTTTAATTCAAAATATTGTCAAGTGATGGATATTAGTGATGCATTTAAATCAGTAACTAAATTTATAAAATTTGATCAAAATGTGACGACATTCTATATCAATCACTAATTGGTCACTAATTCATGTAATTAATAACAAATTTCAGTTTGCAATAAAATTTTTTGTCACTAATACATATAATTAGTGATAGATTAGATAACCGTCATTAATTTGTTACTTAATTTTAATTTTTCTAATAGTGGATTTAATGAAGTCATAATAAAGTTAAAAGGGTTTAAAAAATGGCGGATTGAAGGGCATGCATTCAGAACTCAAACAACCAGTACATCAGCTTTGCGTGATCTTGTTTTTGTTATAGATTTTACCAGGAAAATCGAAAGGATATTTTAACTAAACTATTTCAAGTGACTTGTATGCAGTGGTTGGCAAGCAGATTAATCATCATTGTAAGATGTATCCTATGGTTAGGAAGAAAGATGGTGCGTAATTTACTTCCTAGCTGCCAAAGTATAAAAACATTAAGAATAATTGTGGACCATCATTTATTCAGTTTTGTAGTAATTCAATAGAATTTCAGCTAGACTATTAAAGGATTCAGCACGCATGTAGATTCAATCCATAAATATCTAATTCACAAGACAATACAAAATCCATATCTCATTTAATCAAATTCTGTAAATACAATTCCATTGTCAGTTAAATCCATAATTCAATCTCCAGTCTTTGCCTTTTCCATAATGCAATTCTGGACTTGAACCTTGAAGTGCAATTCCTCAGCAACAAACACAATCTTTATTTGGGCATAGTAGAAGCAGCAAAGAGAGATGAAAACAACTGGGGATGAGGGGGTTGGGTTCAGAATTAGAAGATGGAACAAAAAGGAACCATTGATTTAGACATTAATGTTCTTCAAGAGAGAAAGTACTTCATAATGGTTGCTTCTTCATACCAGCAAGCATTTAATGTTCTTCAAGAGAGAAAGTACTTCACAATGGTAGCTTCTTCATACCAGCAAACATCAACAATGCTTGGAAATGGAAGTTATTGCAGGTACAAAACCTTGGCGGACTCGAAGCTTTTAAATCCATGCATGGAGAATGGAAGCAAGGAAGGAAAGAGGTGGGTTGGATTTAGAATAGTCGACAGAGAAAGAGGGCACGTTGGAAGCTATCATTTGAACAAGGGATACTTTAGAATTCGTAGTGTACTAGTGTATCTATACTCTGGCAGTTAGAAAGTGAATTATATACCACTATTTTCTTGACCATTGAATACATCTTACGGCGATTATTAATCCTCCCCCACGTACATAGAAAGAGGGGAGAGATGTTTCTTTTTTCCTTAATCTCCATTTCTCTTCTTTTCCTCTCGTCATTGATAGATTAAAGTTTTTTAACAGTTCAGATTTAATATTTGATAGAATTATTATTATAATTTTACATAAAATATATAAATAAAATGTTACAGCTTTAAATTGTTTAGATCAAAATTTAATAGTTCAAATTTATTTATATTTTTTATATGAAATTAAAATAGTAATTTTATCAAATATTAAATCAGTACATAGTAAGGAAAAAGGAGACACCCCTCTCTCTAATGAAAGTCCTCAATCCATTTATTGTAGTTAATGATAAAAAATTGAAACTTCTACATGAGGCTCACATTATTGCTGCAGAGTTTATTTGAAGCCTACTTGAATCAAGTCCAAGTGAATTCTAGCTTAGCCTGAATACTTAAATCTTTAATCCTTTTTTATATATTATGCACATTAAATATTAATTAATTAATTTGAGTATTTTAACTGGTTTAAGTAAGCTTGAATCGGACTTAGTTTTGTGATCTTTTCTTCAATATATCCATTCAAATAAACTTGATTCACCAGAATTATGGGCACCACATCCATATAATCATAGGGTTTGCATGCCAGACAATTATAGTGTGATCAATAAACTTATTATAAAGAAAATCATAAAATATTGGATAATTAAAACGGGCATTATTTGACCCTGGATATGAATTTGAAATATTTAGAGAAAATTATATCTAAATCTTATAGAAGAGATTTAATTATTAAAATATTTCATAAAATACACAAAATATTCTCAAATCCAAAATTTTGTGCATTCATAGTTACAAATTCTTTTTATTAAGTAATAAATTTATAAGATTTAAGACTTAAGAATATTTTATATATTTCATGCAACCTCTTGATAATTAAATCTGTTGCGTGGGCGTTGGTGCAATTCTCCCAAATATTTACCACTCCAAGAGAGAAGAAGCATTGACAAACAAGAACGAGAAAAGGAAACAAAACAAAAAAAGGGAAAACATACACTTGTACGTGTCACATACTATACAGAAGGGAAAATGAACCTTGGAATGGGGGGCATGCGTTTCTCAACTTTCTCAATCCTGTGCCTTCAAAAAACATGTGAAACCCTTCTTTCACTGCAAAGATTCTATTTTCCACACAAGCCCAGAAACAGAAGCTCTATCGCATCTCATAAACATGAACCCAAATATCTGTAAAAAGGTCTAAAAACACTTTGGAAATGCGTTTCTAGAATATCAATAATATCAAATAGCCTGTATCATAGCTGGAAGAATATACAAAAACATACTCGGAAACATTTGCGAGAGCATCTTGAGCAGACAATAATGGCGAATGAAAGTGACAGTGGTGGCTTCGCAACTAGGCAAGGAGTCCGATCGTTGGATCTCAATCGATGTGCAATCGTCCCCGTTATTGAGTGAGTCTGCTTTTCACTGTTCTATCAATTTTGTCTCTGCTATCTTCTTCTTGTTTTTTTTTTTTTTTTGGGCGTGCTCGATCTGCTCTTACTTATGCTTCATCACAAACTTCTCCGTGATGGTCCTTGTCATGATTCTGATATGGGGAGCTCTGTTTCAGGAATATTGTGGCGACATTCGTCTTGGACTGTGAGTTGGATCTGAAGAAAATTGCTCAGCATGCTCGCAATGCTGAATTCAATCCCAAGGCATGTCTTATGTTACTTTGTTTCAATTATGTCTGCATCATATTTAGGTATCGTCACTGCTTATTATTAGTAAGTTGATACAAATGTTGTCATTGCAGCGTTTTTCTGCTGCCATTATGAGAATAAGAAAACCGAAAACCACAGCTTTGATCTTTTCTTCGGGGAAGGTGGTGAGTGCTGCCCATGCTCCTCCTCGAAACTATATTGGGTTCTGTTATCCTGAACTCAACAATCCATCAATGCTACGAAGCAACGGGTTTAGTTCCTTTCTTGTCTTTCTTGCTAAAAATTCTATCGTGTTTATGCTTGTGTTGTCCAGGTCTGCACTGGTGCGAAAAGTGAAGCAGACTCAAAACTTGCTGCGAGAAAGGTAAATGCTAAGTACTACGCAAACCAATCGATGAAGAGACGCGGATGTTTCACTTTGAATTAAGTGACAGAGATGAGCTATTCATATATGATTCCATGGCTGGCAGTTTAATTATGTAGTGTATGTATAGTTGAAATTATGCCAAACTGATATCGATTTCTGGTTCTGTCAGTTTGCTCGAATTATCCAAAGGCTTGGGTTTGAAGTCAAGTTCAGGGTACTTTATTCGGTTACTCTATCTATTAAACAAGTATAAATACAAAATGATGATTAGGAGCTACGCTGTTCCCTTCTATACTGAAACTATTTATGAGAGTGGCAGGATTTCAAAATTCAGAATATGGTCGGCTCCTGTGACGTTAACTTCCCCATCAGACTTGAAAGTCTCGCATGTTCACACGCTGCCTTTTCAAGTGTAAGCCATATGTTTCCACAGAATTTTACTGTTTAATTAAACTATATCAAAGTTCTTGGAGTCTGGTGATCTAATAATGTCAACTATATTAACACAAATGAGTTGCAGTACGAACCGGAGCTTTTTCCAGGTCTAATATATCGCATGAAACATCCCAAGATTGTACTCCTCGTATTTGTGTCCGGGAAAGTTGTGCTTACGGGAGCCCAGGTATCTGGCTAGCTTAGTTAATTATTAGCTTTCTCCTTAACTGCAAAACTGACCGTGTTTCAAAATTTGACGTGTTATCAGGAGAGAGATGATACATACAAAGCCTTCGACAGTATATATCCCGTCCTTGCAGGGTTCAGGAAGATTTTTAGGAATTAATGACCCTTATGTATATGAATCTGGGATTTCAAAACATCTCACTTTAGAATAATTAGAAAAAAATCCTAACGAATGTGGTGTGGCCGCCGGTGATCAAACTGTGATCTTTTTCTGGGAGATTTGTCATCAGTTTCGACGTTAATTAATATTATCCTATAGACATGGATCAGTGATGATCTGTTGAAGTTTTCTATATGGATAAATTATAAATAGTCACTGAGCAGTATAGATTAAATCTGTCCGTGGTCTTCAGGCATGCGTTCGACATCTCGCGCATGTTTGCGTAGCTTAAAACAACTGCGAATTCATCTTCGCTTATATTATTATATAATTCAATCATGGAGGTAGAAATATTGGTTACTCATGTCGTGCGCAAAAATATTCATTTATATTTTTATATTATTAAATAATTGATTGTCCGTGTGTATACGCCATTTGCAAACACAATCTGGATGAAAGTTAACGATATCAAACGAATATAAAATTAAAAAATTGTTATACTTGATATTAAATTTTGTATGAACTATAGAACCGACATTGTCCAAAAAAAAAAACACTATAAAACCGACAAACTGGGAGGATCAAATTCAATATTTTATGCTGGCAAAAGGGCTTTCCTCTTAAGTTTATGAGAATGTAGATTTATGAGACACTCGTATCAATATTCGGCCAAAACAAAATTCAATAAATAAAAAAGGTAACCATTTTATCATATTAGTATCGAGGGCATATATGTCAATTCATAGTGAGCGAGGCAGATATTACGAGACGTGTTGGAGAGAGGCAACATGTGGTAACGGTTTTTTGTCCAAATGATCAAATGCGATTTTCTTGAGATTGTTTTGCCTCCAGGACGATGCCTTTGCTTCTGAAGTTTCTCTTCCTCCTCAATGAGACTTATGATTAAGCTATAGAAATATATCTCATAAAAGAAGGATTCGAGCTTGCAACTTTGCAGGAGGAGGCAAGGGGATGGCACAGTTCGCGACACAGGGCAGCTTAAAACTACTCTTTAATGGAGAGGGAGTGTCGTCTCTTCTGGAACTCAAGGACCCATTTTACTATAAGTTTAGATCAATTCAGACCCACAGACGAAGGCTCGGGTATCTTGGCCCATCAGGTAGTATTTACTATTCATCGTCATCGCTGAGTAGCAAATCGAACCGTTGCAATGCTGAGGCACGCCCCTCGGACTGTGTCTATGATGAGAGTGATTCTGATGATGATGAGTTTGAGAGCGATAGCTTGTCTTGTTTCCGAGGCCTGGTGTTAGATGTATCGTACAGGTCACTTTTTCCTCATTTTTATCAAAGTGCCTACCTTTCTGTCTATGTTTTGATACTTTAGGATTTTATATTTTTTCTCCAATAGTCAGGTTCAGAGGCTCCTACTTGAATTCCGGTAATTCATTTCGGTCTTTTCGGTTCATGACTTCATGTAATCAGGGATTACCCGATTTTTCGCATTATCTTACTGCAGCCTATTGATTCTGAACCTCGTCATTTGTTCTTCGTTTCAATACCTGTTACGCTATTATATCACTCTATACTACACTTTGAGGTTTCAGAATTTGGGAATTCTACTGTATGAATATGATGTTGGTTGTGATGCGTTGTATTGTTCCAAGAGACTACCATACCACTTCGTTGAGTTTAGGTGATAGTCGCATTGAAAGAATATGAGAAGCGATCAGAGTTAGATTGTTTAGCAAAGAGAATGTTTTGGAAGCTTTGTTTATTCGTCAACTGGTGTTAAAGAGAATATATATATATATATATTGGATTTAAATTGATGCAGTAGTACTTAATATCATGACTTCAAAACTGCAATAAAGCAGGCGGATGTGAGTATTGATGTATAAATTCTGGTTTTCTTAATTGTCACCTTATCTGCTCAAACGTTACTGGGTAATCTGTCCTGAGTAATTTCTTTTGGTGTATCTTTATGTTGGCTATGTTGAGGAAATCATATATATATATATATATATATAATTAGAATAAAATTCATGGTCACAATAATGCTTTAACCTTTCTTCAATTTGTGGGTAATTTGAAGAATCTTTCTTTTCCCCTTGTGGAAATGCACAGTTCGTACAGTTTTTGTTTCCTTAAAAACTAAATTGTAGACGTATACTTTGTATAGAGCCTAAAGTAAGTCACATTATTCGTGGCTTGTGTAGTTTCTTGTTAATTTTATATTATATATAGATAGATGAGATTGGATTTCATCTCTAGTAACACCTTTTATTAATCTTAAACTCTACGCTTATATATGGTTTATTTCTTAATGTGATTTCAAGATAACGTAGTTGTGTGAGCCAAAATTGATAATTAGTTGGTGAATGTGGATAGTGTGGAGTTTGTAACTTCTGATTTTCTCTTGTATAGTCACCAAAATATCAACAGACCTGCTCAGTTGTTTGCTTATGGTTCTGACTGCTTCCATCCTGCTCCAGGCCAGTCAATGTTGTAGGCTGGAAACGTGCTATTTGTTTGGAGTTTATGGAGAAGGTTAGATTCTTCACTTCAAGTCTTCAACCCTTTTTTTTATGGTAATTACAGTAATACATGCAACTATATGTTTAATTTATTTTATTAGTTTGAGATAGACTGGCAAGAATTTGTGTGAAGTCAAAGTAAACTACCTTGAATTTCAGACAAACCGATGGCATGTGAATCGGTTGCATTAGTATATTTTGTGGCCTTTACTTAATCCAATCACATTGATTTTTTTCCATTTAAAAGCGGAGTATATTTCTGACAGAGGTTCACTTTTGATTTGCTCGAGTAATATGTGTAAGAAAGATTTGTTTATTTCCAGCTTACTATGTTCAATGTGATTATATACAGTCCCAGACTTTAATACACATTGACTGTGAATCCGTACGTCGTCACTTTTCTTTAAATTTCCAAACAGACTCTGAGTAAATTCTAATTTAGTTTCATGTTTTAAATCTTGGTTATCCAGGCTGACGTTCTAGAGTACTATGATCAAACGGTGAACTCACCTAGTGGATCTTTCTATATACCAGCTGTCTTAAGGGTCAGTAATGCAGTAATGCTTGATTCTTTTGTGTCTATTGTTTTCTCTGACCTTTCATCACTATTCTATTAGGACTAAACACTTACTTGCTATTTTCTTTTGAAGATGAGCTGCATACTTTCTTCACAATTCGTAGGACTAAACATTTATTTGCTAATCGTATAAAAAAACATTTACTTGCTAATCATCTGCTATTCAATCCAGAAGTGCTAAACATATTCCTATTTTGGTACAGGTTCCTTATTTACTTCAAGTTGTGAAAAGAAGAGTCGTCAAGAGTAATCTTAGCCGGAAAAATATACTATTCCGGGACAATTACACTTGCCAGTGAGTATTATTTTTTGAGCAGAGTAGTGGTTTTCTTTCAGTGAAGTCTTCCTCCGAAATCAACAAATACGTGGAGTGATGGAACGGTTCTGGTTAACCTGCTGTTTTTGCTGCTTAGATTTAAATATAAAGCTTTACACTGACAATGTATTCCCTTTTCAACAGGTATTGCTCTTCACGTGAGCATTTGACCATTGACCATGTAGTACCTACTGCATTGGGTGGAGAATGGAAATGGGAAAATCTAGTAAGACAATCTGTTGGATCTACATACGAATAACATGGATATAATATACATATCTGGTAATCTTAATTCTTAATAGTAGAAGGTATAGTAAGGGTGCACTGGTACCATAACTACTCACACGTGTGTTAAAAGGACTGCTGTTTTGTGTGATCTTTGCTGGTTAACCCAAAAGCAAATAAATATCTGGGGTCAGTAATTTTTTTTATCCGGTTACCAAATAACCCTGACGTACTCCTTTCTGGGCTTGGCCCATTGTTGTATGAACCGACAATAAAAGAACCCTGATGTGCTTGGCAATCACTTGTTTGAAAACAGTCTTCGTGAGGTATTAATTAGATTTTATTACAAGTTGACTGAGAAGCATGATTGAGACATAACAATGCTAGTAGAATATGAGAAATTGAAAAACTTCCGATGAAATGAACTTATTTTGGCGTAAATGGGAAAATTTCATTCAAAACTAATAAAGAATACAACAATAAACAAGGATACCAACCTTGCCGGAAAACAGAACAAGTCCAAGGCAGGGGGAACAGAAGGCATGACTAGATGAATTTGTTATCTGCGAGGGAGAGTGAACTTGACCTTTGAGAAAGCATAAGTAGAAAATCATTGTAACATGTAAGTTTTCGGCTATGCTTGATATCCACTCCATCTCTCCCCACCACCATGAAGCATTTATTTCAAGAGGAGGCTTGTGCAAACTTAGGTAATCGAAATGAATGAGTGAGAGGTAGGAGATATGTTAGCCCTAATCCCAAAGATCCAAATCCATCTGTGTGGAGCCTCTCTTTATCAAGTCCTTACACAGTGTTTGATATCAACAGGTTACAGCTTGTGTCAAATGCAACTCGAAGAAAGGTCATAGGACTTTAGAGGAAGCAAAAATGAAGCTGGTTAAAGCTCCAAAGGTACTGCTTGCTTTACTAGCTACCATGAATTTGCTTTCTTTCTATTAGCGGTTTTCCCATACTTATCTGTTCTGTGTTCCTTGTATGATCATGACGTGCATGTCCTTTTCTATGAATGAATGGACAACTTGATAGCTACCAATATGACCTCAAAAAGAAAAATTGATGGTTACCAAAGAAAAGTTTGGCACTATCAAAACTCTAATATGTTATTTGCACAAACACAACTGAAACATACAGCCTGTTTTTCATCATATTAATGGTTTTTAACTTCGATATTGCACCATTAACGAAGAATAATGCTGCTGCTGTTGGTCAGGCCCCAAAAGACTACGATATACTTGCCATACCCTTAACAAGTGCAGCTCTGAGAATGTTGACAATAAGAAAGGGAACACCTGAAGAATGGCGTCAATATCTAAGGTCCTCTTCAGAGCCATGAATTCATCTCTTGGGGCACTCCTGTCCTGTATGTCATCCATTCATAATTTCTAGATCTGCTCCTGCTCACCAAAAACTTAATAAATAAAAGAAAATTTCCTCGTAATCACAAGAACTTGTTAACCTTTAGTTAAAAAGGAAAAAAAAAAAACAATCATAGCAAACTCACTATTGATCTCAGGAATCTTGTAAAATATATGTAAAGTAGTTTCCTGTGTTTTTGAGCAAGGCTATGTATGTGTCTGACTCAAATTGATGTACAGAATTGATATAAAAGAATTAATTTAGCATGTCTGTAAGTGTAGGGATGAGGTTTGGTTGCAGATATGTCGGTGACGTGGCTTCCAACTAATATAAGCTTTTGTTGCACCTCCCATTGCCACTTTTGACTTTGGAGGCATTCAAAGAGAGTAATGTGGTAGTTTTATGATGCACGTGAATTGTGAATAGTGCTTTAAAATCAAGACGCCCAACCGGATCATTGCAATGTTTCTATGTACAGTTGAGACTGCTAATTGAATGATGTGAATAGAATTTTAATGCTGGAATGCACTGTAAAAGGTGGAATGCTTTTCAAGTGATGAGCGGTGACCATTTAAATTAAAAATGAATTAAAAAAAGGGCAAACTGATTAGAAGAGGGAAGTTAGGTTTTTTGAGGCATTAATTCTCATGTGTTTGATACGATGACACTGATTCAAAGGGGGTATTGGAATATGGAATTGATACGTTTTTCAATGGGAGTTGATTTTTAGAAGCTGAGTTGTAAATGATTCGAAGTCAGATGCGCCATATTTATCCAGCAAAAAAAAAAAAAGGGTCAGATGCGTCACATGCTTCGATGCAGTTTTAGGCAATGGGTATGGAACTATAGGGGTGGCTATGAAATGTTGAAAACATTTGTTGCCCATTATTTTAAAGCATGGGTATGATGATGATGGTGATCCAATAATGTTGCCTTCTCCTTGATTATTGCAGGAACAAAAACCTAGTTTTTTTAAGAATAAGGGATGAAAAAAAGCTCAATGATGAAAGAAGGGGAAAATATATGAAGAGCAACACTGATGGGGGGTGCGTCAATGATTGAGCTGGGGATGGGAAATGAAAAGGAATCATTGCTTTGCCAATGGGTATATAGGCTTTGGCGGAGAGGCTATTTGTTTTTTACCACATCAGTAACTACTATTTAAAGATTCTTAGTAAATTTAAAATATGCATTAACTAAAAGGTGAGATTTGCATGTAGACCTTTTCTTTGACTTGAAGATTTGCATTTGGACCTCAGACGTACTATAACATCTAAATTGTATTCCTTTCAAGGAAAAGACGGAAAGAAAGAGTGGTAAAATTTACTTGCTTGTTAATTAAAATAGCTGTTATCACTCTTGTTCCCCCTTCAGTAAACCCTTCAACTTCAATAAGAGTAAAGGGGTAAAATTCATGGTAAGTTCCACTCTATGCATAACCTTAATCTAATCTCCTTGATTAATTTTTTCAATTAATTGAAGAAATATAAATTAATATTGGACTGGACACAGATGTCACTGCTCATGCCGTCGGCCCGCCCGTCTCATCTATTCAAGTTGTTGCTTCCAGTCTCATCCACATTCGCACTTCATGTGCACTTGTATGGTACTCGTTTATCGACATGCCTGAAAGAGACATTATTAGCATTAGCTGCATGATACATCACTAATATTTACTTGAATAAATTATCATTTGTTGTTATTATATGATTCTCAATCCAATTCTCTAGTTAATAGTTATGACTAGGAGCCATCAGACCCCGACCCCCCTTACACTCATGCTTTCTCTGCCCCTTTACTCTCTGAGATGTGCTGATAAACATGAAACCATAGCTTTTTCTCTCAGCCATAACTCAAGGACTATAGCATAACAAGGACTTGAGCTTGAAGAAAAATGTATTCTCTGTATGTATGTGGTCACCTTGCAAGAATCTGTGCCTGAGCTTCTCATGCTTCGTTTTCAAGTACTTGGTGAGTGGTCACCCAAGCGCCTACTTGTTCAACTCAAACCCTAGTTGAAAGGGATGATAATAGTTCATAGAATTTATCAGTCACAGGTGAAGGATACAAGATTGGGTATTATTATTCATAGTTGATGGGGATTGGAGCCATTGACGTGATAGACTGCATAACGTGAGGGGATTATGGGCACTGTGAGATGAAGGGACCAAAAGGTCCTTATGGTCATGAGAGTGACGACAAAGTTGATGCAGAAAAGTGCCATAATTTATGAACATACTGTTCTGTTCCTATCACACTCTCTTTCTTTCAAACTCCTTCATTTTCAATTTATTACTCATCCAACCACTGACCCACCCACAGCTTCATCGTGCACATACTGTTGGTGGATTTGCGCTTTGTTTTAATCTCTTTCACGAATCCATATCATAAGGTTTAATTCTGTCATCCATTCTACAAACATTCATTTAATATCCCATCCCCAAAAATAACCCATCTTCTGAAGTTATCAGAATCTGTTGCTGAACTGGATTTATGGGGTGAGAGGATATATTATCCTCCTGCTCATAATTTGTTCAGGGTGAGTTTAATTTACCCATTTGATGTTTAGTTTCCTATACTTTCCTATACATCCCATCAAATTAGGTGAAAAACCTACCCGAAAAGCTTTAGACAAGTTTTCATCAAACTTGTGCATAAAATGCAATTCACATATCTCTTTCTCAAATTTGGAACAAGTATGAGACAGAGTGAGATATTGTTGGAACTTTCAAATTAAGATGCATTGAATCTTCACTCATAATTTTCAATTATAAATATTTTTAACCATTCCTTAAAGTGAATGTCGGCATCTTTTTTTCTGGGTTTTAGGTAGAGCGGTGGACCAAATGCAGGAGTCTTGAATCATAAATGAATAGAGAATATCAATTAATTTTCTTAACAATCATACTTGCTCGGTATAAATTTATATTAAATTCAACATAACCGTTGCAAGAAGGGGTTTCTATTTTCTGCTCAAGTTAGTACATTTTCTCATTTCGTAACCACAAAGACATCTTATGTGAAGAAGCATAGTTAGTAGCATATCCCACTCAGACTTTTTTTGTTGGTCTAGCTTGACTTCTAATGGTTTATAAACCCTCCTCATATGACTTTTTTTTTTTTGGTACCACAATTCACCCTGCGCAAAGCTGTATATGCAGGGGGGGGGGGGGAATTTTCCACTGAATGAGTATAAAATATCTATTTTTAGAGAATTGGAAATCTGAAACTGAATGCACACCGATCTAGATTTAATGTTTTTTTATTTTATATATTTTAAAATTAATAATTATATAAATTTTAATAAATCTGTTTATCAATCTGGATAACCTAGATTTAATATGAATAATTCATATTTAATTCATAAAAATTATAAAAAATTTAATGTTGAACCTATACTATTTAAAATATATCTGAAAAGTTAATTTCTAAAATATTTAATATTAAATATAGATAATTTATATTAAATCTGTACTATAAGACAGGTGAACAAATTTATTAAAATTTTTCAAATATATTTAAAAAATTAATTTATAAAATATTTGATATTAATTATTTATATTAAATCTAAACTGTACAGACAACTAAATAAATTTATTAAAATTTTTAATATTAAATACATTTAGAAAGTCAATTTATAAAATATTTAATATTAAATAATTTATAAAATATTAAATATTAAATATAGACTATTTAATTTAAATTTCAACTTCACAAACAGGTAAACAATTTTTTTAAAATTTATATAATTTTTTTATTTTGTAAAACATAAAATCTGAATTATATCTAAACAGTTGAGAACACACACCTCCATAGCTTCCCTCGAAGCCAACTCCGATACAAGAATCAGCCTGTGATACGGCTTCTCGGATTCTTCCAATTCATCTTTTCCGTGTTCTGCAAAAGAATCGGAAAAAGAAAAAGAAAAATTGTGTCGCTGTCCTCTCAAAGCAGACTTGGTTATGTGGAATTATTAAGTATTTCTGTTATTTTGGCAAAAGACCAATAAATGAGTTGTAATTTTCTTTTTTGAGTTGCCCCTTCACGAGAAAATAAGATTTTACTTGTCTTTACCACCAAAAAAAAAAAAGATTTTACTTGTCAACTCTGTTATTTACATGCAAAGGGAAGCAAGAAAGAGGTAAAAGAACAGATTTGGAAAACTCGAATATGTAGCCATTGAAGGGTTAGTTAGTGTAGCGTATGGTTATTGCTTAAGGGCGAGTGCATGGGATGTTGAAATGAGATGGAGATATTAGATTTCTTACAGATTGATTAATAAATTGGATTTTGTTTTCTTTTAGCTTTCATATCTGCCGACAAAAAACCGAGGGCCATAAAGGGGGCACTGACATAAAATTGTGACACCAAGCTTTGGTTTTCTTCCTCCTCCCATTTCAGACCATCTCCCTTCAGAATTCAAAAATACATTTGACGGGCATGGATGTTTGCCGGAATGCATCAGTTTCCGGCGACTGCGACCAAGAGCAGGTCCTCTTGTCTTCCTGCTCAAAGCTTTCTACCTTCTCAACCACTCTTGACGACCTCTTCTCTTCTCATAGCACGGTCAGTTTTCCGCTTGCTTTCAAGGTTCCTGTATCTCCCTGCTCTGAAATTCCTTCCCTTATACTTTTTCCAAGTCCTAGCATCTGGGCTTTCTTGCACAGCTTCGCCTTTTGCAGTTTCTGTTCAATTTGCTGATAAAAATCGTTTCTTTTGTTGCTAGCTATATCTTCGCTTAGTTTTTATCTCGAAATTTTTACCTGTTGTGCTCTGTTTCTTCCTTTTGTTTGAGTCTTATCGTGTTGATAAGCTCTTCTTCTTCTTCTTCTTTTTTTTGTGACTTTATTAACGGGCAGGAAGTAGATGTTGGCTTAGAATGGCTTTCTGTATTTGTGGAAGACTGCTTTTCCAGCTCAGCATGTTGCCTCTTGGGATCTACTGACGCCCAAAATACAGAGGCAAACTCTAAACCCTCCGTACAATTACAGAGAACCCAGCAAAAGCAGTCTCCTCTGCAAAATTTTGTGGTTCCAGGGAAGGCAAGAAGCAAGAGGAAAAGGCTTTCAGCCCCTAGAACCAAGGACCCATTAAGCAGCTGGTCACGCCATTTGAACCCACAAAATGAACCCCTAACTTCAGACCCTCCTCTTCTTAAACAAGCCTACTGGTTAGCTGATAGTGAACTCATAGTCCCCAAGAAGGAAGATGAGCATGTAGCAACAAAGGATGGAGAAACAGAGCAAGAGGTGGAAGAGAAGAGGACTGTGAGGAAGAAGGAGAGTTTTGAGAGCTTAGTGTCAGAGTGTGAAGAAGGTAGCAATGGGCAGCAACAAATGCCAAGAAGGTGCACACATTGCCTTGCACAGAGGACCCCACAAT